GCAGATATTTTACCTAAAGATAATTATGAAAATAAAAATGAAACTGGTAATGATATATTACTTAAACTTAAACAGTTAAAGGAAATGAAAGAAGTTCAAGTATTAATTGATAAACTAGATTTTAACAATCCTTTTTCTGCTGAAGAATTTGTTAAGTATGATAAGTCTGAAATTATGGATGAAATGATATCTGATGAAGAAATTTTAAAAGCAGTTTTACCTAATCAAGATGATAAAATAGAGGAAGATTCTTTATTACCAATAATTACTTCTGAGAAAATTTATGATAAAGTAATTTTATATTTGAAGCAACAAAAAAAATATTTAATATAAAAAAAGATAAGTTAAGGTCTATTATAAAGCTTAAAAAAGAAGCTTTAAAATAGTTTGTCTCTTCAAAACAAACTAATCTTAATAAATTTATTACTATAATAAAATAATAATTTGGGAGATTACCATAATAATAGTTAATAATGTTTACAGTTTAATATTTTTACTTTTTATAGAATAAAATGATATTATGGTTACATAAAATTTTGATGTATTAACTAAATAATACCCTTGTGATCGTGTTAAAATTTTGTTGAAATTATGTCGAGAAATCATATTGTTTTTTATTAATTTTTAACCAATTTTTGTTAAACTTGTGTTAAAATTACTTATTGATTTTTTTACTAAATTGTGGTAAATAATTTTATAATAATTTTTTATTTATCACTGAAGTAATGATTTGTTATTATTGATCTACTTTGATTATCTGATATATTATATTTATTAATTTGCGTAAGTTATTTTGGATTGATCTAATTTTTATAAATAATACGATGTATTATTATTTTGACTTTTTGTTTTTAATACAAATCAAAATTTTAATCAAGATTGTATTATTTTAATTATAAGTAAAAAATTTCACAAGATATCAAACCAAATAGATAAGTTTATTTATAAAGGGAAGTATTTTTTACTATTATATAATTTTTTACCTTTTGAAATTATCAACTTTTATATCATTTTAATTTACTCTTTTAAATCATATTTTTTTACAAACACAAAAATGATTACAAGAATAATTTGGGAGGATAATAAAATTGATTTATTAGTTAATGAAAAAAGAAGGAGAATGAAGAGTATCATATAAGATACAGAAGCAATAAGATGGGATTCTGAAGGAATGTAGCTTGATGAATTAATCAAAGATATGATATAGTATATTTAACTTATCAATGTGAGTTGAAATAGAGGAATTTAGTACAGGATTATAATATAAGTAAATAAATGAATAATAATATAATGATAAATATAACTTAATAGTATAATTAATATCTTTTAGGACTTTTGTAATTATCAAAATGAAGTGAGAAGAAATGAAAGGTAGACCTATACTATAGAAAGATTATACAACCTCTTCAAGATTTAATTCTGAAATAGGTCAGGTAATAATTAATTATTTAAATAATTTTTTAAATTTATATTAAATATATTTACTTTTTTTAGAATTAAAGTACACTCGTAAGAGAAATTGTAATTTGCCTACTATAAGGCAAATATGAAATACAAGGTAAAACTATGATGAGCCTGTGAAGCAAAACTGAAATAAACAGTAAAATTATAACATACTTGCAAGGCAATAAAAATTTTTTTTTTTTTATTGTTCGTTTAATTTCAGTTTTTTTTGTAATATTTATTTAATTTCATTTTTTCTTTTCGTATTATATGTTTAATTTTATTTTTTCTTTTTCATTTTTTCATTTTTTCATTTCATTTCATTTTTCTATTTCGTTTCATTTTTTTAATTTCATTTTTTCATTCATTTTATTTTTCTAATTTCATTTTTATAGTTTCTTTTTGTTTGTTTAATTTCATTTTTTAATTTCATTTTTTTGTTTCATCTTATTCACTTAATTTCGTTTTATAGTTTCATTTCAGTTTCTTAATTTCATTTTTTCATCTCATTTAATTTATTTAATTTTATTTTGTTTTGTTTAGTTTTTTTTATTTCATCTTTATTTTTTCTTCTATTTTATTTTTATTTTATTTAAAAAAATAAATTAAATTTTTTTTTTAAAAAAAATTTTAAGTAAATTAATAAAACTGTCATATAATGATTAACAGATTGTATATACAAAATAATGTGAAAATATTTCTAAAAAAATTATATTATAGTAAAATTATATTTGTGTAATGAAATCATAATCATCTACTATAATGAATTATTCATTATACATACTGAATAATTTGTTATAGCATTAATAAAGATTTTTATAATAAAGATCTGATCAGTTAGATCAGCAACTTTATTATATTAAGTCGTGACTATATTTATAATTTTTTATATAATATAGAATATACTTCAATCTATCTTTTTATAATTTTTTTTTATTACTTTATTTTTTTATGTAAAATTTAATAAAGTAAAACTTTTGAAATTTTTTTAAAAAAAAATAAATAAATTTTTATTAAAGAAATAAATTTTGATATTTTTTATAATATATACAATTTTATGAGTTCATATTATGTAAGTATATAGTTTATTATAATAAATATATATTTAAAATTTTAACTAAATTAGATTAGTAATTATTAAAAAATTAAATTTTAAAATTTAATAATTTTATTTTGTTACTATAAAATATATATAAATTTATATAGTAATTTTATAATAATATATATAAATAAACTAATAAATTTTTAATTATTATATTCGAATTCTCCTTGATGAGATAATTCTAACAAATCTAAAATCATAAAATTCTGATTACAGACTATAAAGAAATTAATCATCAAAGTTTGACATCATTTATACAAAAATATTTACGTGATATTGTTAAATAGAATAACTCTTGAACTAATGATCAATAATTTGATAAAAATAGTATCATTAGAACTAAAAATGACATTGCAACTAGTTGCAACTATGTGATACTTATTTGTCACCAGTTGTAACTAGTTGCAACTCAATTTTTATTAATATTACAACTAGTTGCAATTCTGTGATACTTATTTGTCACCAGTTACAACTAGTTGCAACGCTATCTTTAATTAGAACTGTCTTGATAAGAGCTTTCTAATGAATATAAACTCAATCTGATTGGACTAATATTTAAGAAAATATTTCTAAATGAATATCAAGTATAATTCTGTAGATCATTATTATACAGAGTTATAATTCCTTAATGTGAATTAGCAATCAACTGGTCAGAATTATAAAAAATGATGAAAATAATGAAAACTTTCACAATAATAAAACTGACTATAATATTGTTAATGAAGTTAAATATGTTAAACAAATTTAATGAAATTAGGACTTTTTCTCAATCCCTATAATATCAAAAATTTTAAAAAAAACAAAAATTTATTTTTCAAAGAAAACTTTATTTTTTATTAAAACAATATATTTCTTGATATTTTTAAACACCTTTTTACTAAAGAAGTCTTAGACTTTCAAAAACTAAAAAATTATATTATACTTGAACTCAAAAAAAAAACTTTGTTATTATAGAATTTCTCTCATATGAAACATCAAAAATTTTTCTAGCTTGTCAGAAAATTAAATGAAGAATATATCAAAACTTTTATACAGCTCAAAAAATATTCCTCAACAATAATTTTATAGATAACCTTATAAGGTTTTATGTCTACAATATTTATGAAACTGAAACAAGTGATTACAGAATACATAAAACAGAAAATATCATCTCAAATACAATTGAAACTGCTCTTCATTTTAAAGAAAATGATGATATTATTTTGACTACTAATAAAGAAGAACTAAATTCACAAATAAATATGCTCAATGATAATAATATACTTATTGATACAATCTTAACAAAATATAATAATCTACCTTCATCTTTAGTGCCTTCTAACACGCAATAACTTTCACTCAAAAATCATAACAAACTTTTACCAAAAAAACAAATTACCTAAATAATAAACAAACTTATGCATTAATCATACAAGGATTGGGAAATCTTTATTATATGTCTCTATTACAAAAGGCATCTAACCTTATTTTTGCAAATCAGGTTTTTTTATAATTAAGCGAATCAGATTTATGAACACTTTAAAAAATTAATAATAATACAAATCATTATTTGGTCAGATACTTTATGAGTATATTATTTATTAATCAAAAATTTTTAAAAGAAATTCTTTATGTATAGAAGACGTATTAAAAAATTCATAAATGGAAATAGTCTCATTATCTACTAAAATCAAATTATCATTTACTTTAGTAAATGAGCGTACACCTAAAAAATAAACTACTTCTCGTGAAGTAATATAAATTGTAATATTTCCCTATTGAATTTTTGCACAAAAAAAAGTGGCGTAACACTTGCATATAAACTTCAATAGAAATATATGATAAATGATTTAAAAAACCTACCGGCTTTTTAATTCATATATGTTGTTGTTCACATTTTTTATACATTACAATAACTTTTCTTAAACATAAAATTTTATTTAAATAAACTATTAAAAATCCACCTTTAATTAAAGGATAAATATCAGAAATATTCGTCAAACCAAGATTTGTTACTAAAAATTACTAATAATAATAATAATAATAATTAAATAATATATATTTTTCATGATGTAAATGAAAAATTTTATCTAAAATATTATTAGATAATATTTCTAATCTTTTTTTTCCTTCCTATCAATCTCAACGCCTTCTCCTTTGATTTTTATCAATATTATCTGCTGTCATTTCAGTAATAAATTTATTAACAGCATTTCCATTAATTTATTATTATTTATATCTATAGTAGTTTGACGTAAATAATTGGAATTAGATTTTAAATTGCACAAAATGCATCATGACTTTGACAAATTTGTAGAAGAATTGATATATTTAAAGTATCATTTGTAAAAAATGATTGAAATGGATGAAAAGGTACAGAAACAGAGGAATGCTAAATGATATATTGGATATCAGAAAATTATCTAACTGATAGTAATTATTGCATTACATTATTATCATCTTCTTCTTCATGTAATTAATCATTTTTATCTTGTGAATCTGATAGTATACGTGCTATTTCAAGAGCTGTATTACTAACTGTAATTGAACGACTTAAAGTAGTTTCATCATTAAGAGTATTTATTAATTCTATATAATAATTAATTTAAAATTAATTATAATATATATGATATAAATAGATTTATTCACCATTTTCACTATTTTCATTATCTTCAATATCTGTCATTCTTTCTATATATGTAGGAATTGAGGATTTTTCATAACTTCCCATATGAATATATTTTGCTAATGATTTAGCTTCATTAAATGCAATTCTAGTATATTCTTATATATCTTCAGTAGTAGGTCAAGTGCGAAGTCCTTCAATTGTTTTATGTGAAAGTGATGTATCATCTATATCAAAAACATAATCTGAAAATACACTTTTTATTACTAATTATATTAAAAATTAAAATAAAAAAAAAGAATTATAAAATACTTGCAGCAGAATTTCATTTTCTAATAGTATCAATTATTCCTGCTTGTGAAATTTTATCCTGATATGAAACTCTTTATTGTATTTTAAAAAACCCATAAAAATTAAAATCTAAAAGTATTTTTCATGAAATTTCAAACATATGCTCTAATGTCTCAGTTCTGTGTTCCTATAGTAATAAAGGAAATTGTGAATAATATTCACAATATACTATTATAAGCATTACTAAAGATTCTACCATACTAATAAAAATATCATAACTTTGTATTGAAATAAAACTTTTTTGTAAATTATACCATTTTGTTGAATACTGAATACTACAGCATTCAATATATTTTTTTCATATATTCAAAAAAAAATAAGCACATAATATTATTTTAATTTATGTTTTGTGATCAATTGTCTTATTTAAGTAAGCATCACATAATTCTTCTAAAATAAAAAAATATATATATTAATTATTTAAAACTAAATTAAAATAATATAAATATTGCAATTACCTAATACAAATAAATACACAAAAAGACTAATAATTTTATCAGTTAAAGTACTGTTAATAGAAATTTGCATTAGGTTATTTGAATGAAAAGTACAAAATGCTACATCATCATCTTATTTATCAACGTTAAGTACATCACATTTTAAAAGAAAATGTTGTGATTGATGTGCTAATTTAAAAAGTTGATCATAACATGCAGTATCAATTCCCAATGATAGAAGTTTTGCTCCAAAAAATATTTGATTTCTAGCTGTTTTCTTAGCATGTTTTGGGTCTTGAACTCAGATAAATGATTTACCATTATATATTGGTACTTTAAAGTGAATTTTATAAAAAGAATCTTTATATTCAAGAAAATCTAATGCCTTATTTGTTATAATTGATTGTGTATTAAATTTAGATCTAGCACCATCAGCTCTAAAACTCAAAATATTCAAATTCGCTATATGTGTTATTTTAATTATTTAACGTATTAAATATGCAATTTGTTCAGCTTTCTCATTACCTTTTGTAGGAATCATTGCTACCATCATTGGTAAAACTTTTCCAATAGGAATCTAAATAAAAAAAATTATAATTAATTATATTTTATTAATATATAAACTTTAATGATTACTTACTAATCTTTAATGCTATATCACAAACTTATGTAACAATTGCATTTTTTTCTAAAATATAATTGATTTTAAGATGTATATTCTCAAGTACTTCAATAGTTGTTTCTGAATGTGGTAAAATTGATTTAGTAATATAGTTAAGTTCTTTAGCATATACAAATTTTTGTCATAATTTAGTAGCATCTGTTATAATTATAATTGGTTTATTCTAATTAATACTTGATACAATTTGTGAAAATTTTATAAAGTTTTCAATCACCAAATCAGAATTAGTGATTATAATAGAATCTGTTTTACAAATTCGTCTGTTTTAAAAAAAAATTACTAATTTATACATTTATTATATCAAGTATTTTAATAAATAAATAATAATTACTGGATTTTTTGAATTGAAAGCTCAGCAAAAGCATTTCTAAAAATTTCATACTCACAGCTACTTTCAAATAATAAACTAAAAAAATGTATTAAATATTCAGAATAACGAAGTCTTTTTAAACTTTTATCCTGTAATTTTTTTTCCTTAATTTGCATCATTAAAGTTACAAGTTCAATAAAAGTACCATCTCTATCAAATACTTTACTTAAACCAAATTGAGCTAATTTTGCCCAAAATTCTACATCATTATTTTCATTACTTGTAAATGCCAATTTGCTGTAGATTTGGATTTTTAAGAAGGTTTAATAATAGTTTATTATAATAATAACGAGGAGTAAATTTGATAGTACTACTTGTTGTCTGATCCTTAAATGATAAATATTTTAGTTATAAAAATTTAAATATCTATAAATAAAATTAAATATATTAAAACTTACAGCTTTAAGTACTTTATTTAAATATTTATTAGTTTTTAATCCTTCATATTTATTACATATAGTACTTTTATTATCTGTTTTTTTTTATATTACATATGATATATTGCTAAAACTTCTTTATCTAAACGCCAAGTTGCCTCAGTTTCTAATATTCTTTCAAATTCTTCTTACTCTTTTTTATTAAGTTTTTTTCTAGTAAAGGTAGTATTTTCTGAAAATTTTTCTGGAAAAAGTTGTTTAGCTATAATTTCAGGCTTTTTGCTGTCACTAAAACTAGCAGAACTATTAATAATATAATTAATATATTCTAAATTACAAAAACCTTGACTATAAATACCCGCTGAAACCTTCTCAAAATAATTTTGTCATATCCTTTTCTATGTTTTTAATATAGTTTTGACAGTTTCAGCTTTCATCATATTGAATGGGTTTCATCATATCTCTTATTATAATTTTCATCTAAGTTTCAACTGTTATTAAAGGGTTTCGTCCTTCATCTATAACCTTGACATATAAAAGCACATAGTTTTCTATTCTCTTTAATATCATTTTTTTTACTATCTTCATTACCTTCTGATTAACTTTTTGAAAAAAAAAACATTTATACTTGGCTGATTATTTGTACGATATAAACAATTATTACTTTGAGAATGTCTTAAAAATTAAAAATTTGATAAATATTACCAAGAGTAAAATTTTATCACATTTACAAAGAACTTTTTTAGTATCAATAAATTTTTGAAAATTAGGATATGAAGTAAAATGACTTTGATAAGAATCATAAAAAAGCGACATTTTTTTAAAAAAAAAAGATTATCTATTATCAAAAAAATTTGTTTAAAATATTCAAGTTAGGACTATAACATTTATTACATAATATTAGTTTAATATAAAGCCCAACCCTTTACTCCAACGTAAGATATTTAGTAAAATCACATAGTAATAATCACGTGATATCGAATATAATTGTATAATAGTGGAAATTTACTATTTTAATAAATTTAGCTATAGTGGTTTTACTGTTTTAAAGTAAATTATTTGCAGAAGTGGCAAAACGGTTACAATTAACTATTTAATAAATTAAACTATAGTGGCTTTGCTATTTTTATACAAATTAACTGCGAAGGCTTGCATTTAATATATTTAACTATGAAAGTTTTATATCTATAAAAGAAAATTTGATGTATTTTTTGGTTTCGCATTTTTTTTAAAAAAAAATTGTTCTTAAAAAAACATGTTTACTTATCTCTTTTCAAACTTTTTTAAAAATGAGTCATCAAATCTATTTCGTTAACCCTAAAATTGATTTATGATTTACTAACTAATAAATATCAAGAATTTACTAACGCCTATGCATATAGTATTATAGTAAAAACTGGAAGCACAACTCTAAATTATGCTATTATTTATTATAAAGCTACAACAAAATGAAAAAATATTAAAAGCAAAAGTGACACAGAAATCGACAACATGATTAAAGAATATATGATTACACCAATTAACTCATATATCATTCTAACAATAAGATTAAACCTTTCTAATAATATAGTAAAACCAACTTCTTCAACTTCACCTCTCCCCATTATTAATCTGGTTGAATCCATAATTGAAATTTCTAAGAATGCAATGGCTCAAAGAAAGATATTAGAAGAAATTAAAACATCTGAAAACAAACTAACTGAATTAAAACAAATTTATAATATTACCACTGACATTCAGATTCAGTATGACATATATGCAAAAATAGAACAAGCTGAATCTGAAATTAGTTTTAATAAGGTTAAGATTGACAGATTAAAAAGGAATGCAAAATATGTTCAAAATTGAAGAGCAAAGAAACTTAAAATACTTACGGAGAATAAAGAGGTTATCTAATATAATAAACTAGGTTGTCTATCTCTTCTTTTCGAATATTCAGACTTACATGATCAGATCTATGACTCAGTTGAATTCAGATCAGCTGATTCAAAAAGAAGAAAAAAAGTGGTTAAAGTATAGATCATTGAAAATTTATATAAGAATTTAGAAGAAAGATATAATATTTACATGGCACGGATAACGTTAAAAAATTATCTCTTACCTCGCCAAGTTAACTCAATTGCCACAAAGGCTCATCACCATCCAGCATGAGTTGCTGTAGCTGGAGTTTTACGTACAGATACTCGAGAACATCTTGATAGGCATTATTATCTCGCATCTATCAAATATGCAAAACAATTTACTTCTATGTTTACCGATGTGTCCGTTATTATTTCTCAAGATAATAAAGCAAAAGTTGGTCTTAGAGTGCCTGCAGTAGGTCGAATATTTTACGCTTTACAATCAATTAATGAACTTATATCTGTAGCCAATCACGATTTTCCTGTAGGAATTGAACAGAAACTAATTCATTCAGTATATTTAATGATAAAACTAGATGATTTAAAAGACGAACTTCGAACAGGGTAGTTTGTAATATTTATATGTCCCTAATGGCCTATTGGTACATCTTCGCTTACACATATGCAGGATCTGAAAAGCCTTATTGTAAATTCCCGATATACTGATACATTAAAGGTTAATGGGCAGATTCGTCCCATTTGGATATTATTAGTAGATGGTAGGCCAGATGAGAATCTTCGCCATTTGAAGAATATAAAGGTATATTGTCAGTTTTTTAAAAAATTTGATTTGGATTATCTGAGCGTACGAATGCACGCTTCAGGATAGTCCAAATACAATCTTATAGAAAAAGGTATAGTGACATTATCTGAAAAACTTGATAGCGTTACATTACTGATCGATCACTTCAGAAAACATTTAGATTCGCAAAGTAAAGTCACAAATCCTGAATTGGCTACTCAAAACTTTCAATATGCTGGAGAGAT